CCCTTCCCCTGCTCCAGTTCATCTCGGTTGTATCCATTCGCTACTTTGGTGTGTGATTTAGTTGCCGGTTGCTAACAATTCATACCAGAGCCGTCGATTCTCGGTTCCTATCACCAAGAATCCCCCTGCCGAGATCTCTCCTTCTACCTAACTCTTCACGACGAAATTCGCAAGCTATTCGACAAGTTCGATGCGAGGTGGGCCAAGCAGGACGCCGTGTGAGAGGCCTCCCGGGGCGTCCCCGTTCCAACCTAGTCCGCTACCGTCGGAGTTGATGTAGCCGCCGACAATTGGGGTGGCCTCTTCGACGGAGGCAATGACTCTAATGAGCAGCACTACGATGCGCTCATCATCGCCGACAACTGGGTGGGTTGTTCGAGCAGCCTGCCCACATCCTGGAGGAGCGCGACCTCGAGTCCACCGACCAGATCCGTCGTCGAGACTCCGCCAAGCGCAAGTACCTCCTCTATGGTGACTCCTTCAACTCTCTCTCCACCTATCAGATCTGCCTCGACAGCGGCCTCACCTCCACCAACTCCGATGCCCTTCCCTTTGCGCCTGCGCCTGACGCCGCCTTCGACTGCATCCATCGACTAGTGGTTCGTCGACGCGCTCAAGGCCCCTGTGACGCACTCCGCGGTCCCACGACAACCTCTTCGCCCTCCACGCCATGTCGGTCGAGCCTAACCATGGCCCCACGGCGGATGTCACACCCAATTTTAAGGATAAAATGAGATGCAAAAGCTTATGTGCGTCCAGAGATCAGTCACACACATAAGCCAATAAATTATGAATAGTATCATCACAAGTGTTTATTACATCACGAATAAGACAGAGTCTTCACATAAATGTAGCGGAAGTATAAAGAAAAGATCTATCGCGGAACCTCCATATCACAGGGACGTCAACTGGTTGACCACAAGTCTAGTAATCCCCAGAAAAATCGTCATTACCATAGCCATCTGTTACCCATCCGGGATTTTTATCCAAATAATGAAAATAAACAAGCGTAAGTACATGTCGTACTCAACAAGTGTAACATGAGGTTCATAAGGCTCGACACGGGTTTAACAGCGTTCAGTTTTTAGTTGTCAAAATTTTAGCATAAGAGTAGCAACAAATTGTTTCAATTCCCAAGCAAAACACATGATCAATGTAAACATGAATAATGAATGGCATAAACAAATAGTTCTTAATGTTCATCTATTCCATAAGGGTTCTAAGGCCGCTCGTGACCATGAGCACGACTGATATACCAGTTTTACACTCTGTAGAGGTTGTACACTTTCACTGTGAGTCGTGATATCCATATACCCAGGTTAATTATTCCTAAAACACTTCTAAGGTGAGCAGGCAGGGGTCACTATAAAGCCTTTCAAAGGTTCGTCTAATAAGTTAGGGCCATTATATTCACTCGGCAAACAGATATAGAAACCCCTGTCGAATGGCATAATTCCATCGCGACTATACACATAAAAGTAGATGTTGTCCTATACCCGATTCGGCAAGCCATTCTTATGCCAATAAAGGTAATCACTAACAAGCTAGAAAATGTCCTCATACTGAGCTAAAGCCAGAGCCATGTAGCCCTCACAGATGTATTGTAAGTCCCGGATGATCACTTACAGATAAGTTCTTAGGGAGAGGAATCTGAAGCATTTAGAAAGTAGCTAAACACTCCAACCCCCTGTTTTCAAGTTGCTAAAAAGTCATATTTTAATGTTTATTGCATATACCATTAGTCAAGTTATAAGATCATGGTTTAATTGAGCACTAGCAAAGCTACCCAATGCATATCCCGTGGGTGACAAGGTATAAGTTCAATTCTAGGAAATCCCTATCAAGGTGACACATGCAACATGAATTTAATGTATTAAAGTGAATAGAAAACAATGATGATCCCATGCTATACTTGCCTTGAACAAAGTGCTCCTGAGGATCCTGCTCATCAAAGTAGTACTCTTGGTTTCTCACGAAATGCTCACCGTCTATACTCGATAATCACAGCAACATACAAGCATCCAGAAGCAATCATGCATAGCAAACAAAAACTATAGATTAGAATAGTACACCAATCAGCATAAAATTAAGATAAAAAGTTTGTAAAAAGAATTTACGTCTCACTACGAACACATATACGCGAAGATAACAAAAATCAGAGCTAAAACGAAGAAGTTATGAATTAAACAAGATTTCCTTTAGTAAAATAATAGATTAAATCTAACTTCGAATTTTAAAAGTTGAAAACCTACTTAACAATAGTATGAACGTGTAGATTATAGAATTACGAACCTAACGCAAGTTGAATAGATCAATTCGGAGTTAAAACAAAGATTTTATGGCTAAAACAAGATTATTGGTAAAACTGTAAATAGGTGAAAACGTATTTTAGATCTAACCGAAACAAAGTACGCTTTCAAAAGAAGAAAACGAAATCTGGAAAGACGTTATGGACTATGGGTTACAAACTAAATACTTATGAGGGCTATTTTGCAAAACTACAAGGTGAAGGGGTATCCTTCGATATGGGCCGCCAGATTAGATTCGGACAGCCGGGACTGAATGAGGTAGGGAGGAGATGACACCGGTCGGCCGGAACAGGACTGACGCAGCGGCGCCATGGCCAGAGTGGGCGGCACTCTCGGTTTAAAGCCTATGGACCACCGTTTGACAAAATGAAGACACGGGGAAAAAGAGGGGGCGACAATGGACTCACCGAAACCGAAATCTCGAGCGGGGAACCAACGATGGCGCGCGGCAGCAGCTCAAACCCGACGGCGGCGACGGCGCTAGGGCTATGGTGGCTACGAGCTCTAGGCGAGGTGGAAAACTTGCTGTAAGGCTGGATAGAGAGGCGGCGCAGGCGCGGGCATCGGTATTTATGAGACGGGGCGACGTGGGTAGCACACCACCGTGAGGGAGTAGCGGAGGCAGACTCGGCGGTGATGGTGTCCGTGCCGGACACGAGATGGAGGAGGAAGATACGCCTGACAGGTGGGGCTGAGTTGTCAGCCACTCAGAGAGGGAAGAAGGAGACACGCGGCTGCCTGTGGCCGAGCGGAGCTGGGCCGATCGCAGAAGTGGGCCGGGAGGGAGAGCTGGCCGCGTAGAGGAAAACCGGGGAAACGGCGACTAGGCCTGCGGGGAACTAGAACGGGCCGCGGAAGGGAGAAGTAGGCCAACGTGGAGAAGCGGAACGGGCTGCGGGCGCAGAGGAGCAGGCCAACAGGCCAAAAGCAGAGAAGGGAAGGAAGGGAAATTCATTTTCCTTTTCCAATTTTTCAAAGCAATTTTAAAATGCAAATTCAAATCAATTTGAAGTCTGACTTCAAACCAGGCAATACAAAATAATATGCAGCAGCATGAATGCACATACATGTTTGTTGACCTACATTTAATTTTATTTTTAACAAAATTATTATTTTTCTAAATTCAAATGTCCACAAAAATACATAATAAATCAAATTCTCCTACTTTAAAATATTATAAATTTTAGGGTGTTACGCCCTCTCCGCGCTTCTCCTGGCTCAAGCTCCCTCGAACGAGGATACCGTCAGCGATGAGCGCAATAGCGGACGCCGCGGACCCCGCATGGCATGACACATCCTCCCTCGTAACCCTGGGCAAAAATAACCGAAAACCGAGAACCGAACCGAAATAACCGGAACCGGAACCGAAACCGAATTAACCGAAACCAAAAATTTTGGTTCCTAGTTCGGTTCCCAGTCCTCAGGAACCAAAATAATGTCGGGTAATTCGGTTCCAGACCTCGGTTAACCGAATAAAACCGAAGAACCGACTTAAAAGGCTCGTCCTCGGTTTATATCTCGGCTCAAACAGGCCCAGGCGAGGCCCGATAACGTATTTAGTATAAATACAGAACCTTTAGGGTTTCTTGACTCCTCCCTCACTCTCTCTGTCTCACCGCATGCCTCCCTCTCCCACCGAGCCGCCTCTCCCTTCCGGCCTTCCCGAGACCGAGACCAAGCGCGCCTCTCTCGGTCTCTCCGCTCCGTCCTCTCTCTCCCTCTCCACTCTGGCCTCCCTCTCCTTCTCCCTCTCTTTCTCTCCCTCTCCATTTCCAGAGCCAGGGGCGCGTCCCCTTCTGGCAGTTGCGCGACGCGGGTCGCGGGGGGCGCGGCCCCTCCTCCGGCGACAGTGCGACGCGGTGGGCACGGCACCTTCTCCAGCGACGGCACAGCGCGGGGTGCGCGGCCCCTCCTTCAACGGCGGAGGCACGGCGGGCGGCCCCTCCCACACCCTGAAGCACCTCCACCACCGTCCCATGGCTGGATCCAGTGGAGGGCGACCAGATCTATGGTGGGCCTGCCCCCGGCGGTGGATCTAGGCCTGGCGCGCTTCCCGACAGCGGATCCACCACTTCCCTGTCCCTGGTCCTCCCCTGTCGCCGGTGTCTGCTCTAGAGGTCGAGGCCGAGTCCGATGCGTGCTCGCTGCCCTGGAGGCCGGATTTGGACGAAGGGGCGACTGCTGTCGTTTTTTTTCATTTTTCCCCTTTTCTTCCCTTCTGTTTCGCTGATGTAATGTATGGCTCGGTTAGTTCGGTTCTAACCGAAACCGAACCGAACTAACCGAGACCGAATTTTCTCGGTTCCAAATTCTCTAGCTAACCGATCGGTTCTAAGTTTTGTGCTAACGGAATTTCGTAAATAAAGGAGAAACCGAACCGATGGGTTTCGGTTAACCGAATGCCCACCGTGACTCCCTCGTGCCACTGCAACCGCAGGCTGACAAGGCGGGAGCGTCCGAGTTAGAGGCCGCGGCTCCTCCTTCCGTCGTCGACGAGTTGTACCACGAAGTAGCACGCCCTCCTCCTCCCTTCGTCGATGAGCCGTACCGCGAAGCGGCTGCGGGGGTGGAACCCTCGAGCATGGGCATCGACCTCGGCCTTCAGCAAGTCGCCAAGGTGCTCGTGCCGCTGGAGTACCTCGAGATGGCCCCATCGGCCACGCGCCTCGGCATCACGGCATCCGACGCGACATGGCCCGGGGCGCTCACCGTCTACACCGCGCCCGCCACCGCGCCCACCGAGAAGCTTCTGTCTGCCTCCGCCGGTTTCTGCATCGATATTGCCCCAGTAATACTGCTGACTTCATGCCCACCAAGTGTTCGATGTATTGCCGCAGTGGCTTCACTTCCATGCTGACCACAGCACTGAGCAGTTCTACTCCAACCTGGGTGTCCACCGAGGTCTTCAACAGCTTTGACAAGCGACCGTGGCCACCACCATCTCAAGCTCAAGTGTTCAGTAAGCAAGGTATGCACAGACTAGTTGTTGGTAATCTTCTTGACACTGAGTCGGATGTCATATGGTCAAAGCCCCCGTGGCCACCGCTACACGTGCTAGTTGAGTTTGAGTGTGGCAGTGATGATATACGTCCATTTTCGTGGCCATCTTTCACCACAGTCGTTCCTGAGCTTGCTATTTGGAAGTGTTACACTTTACCCAGGAAGCCTCCATGGCCACCCCCAGCTCATCAATATTTCAGACCTATGCATGCCAAAACTGTGGAAAGTGGGACACACAAGACGGTGATAACAGAGTGGAGTCTCCATGTGCTCATTCAGGAAGAAGTGCAGCGAGAGTGTAGTGGGAATTGTGGGCAGTGTGTGCAAAGTATAGGTTTCCTGAAGCAATTTGGTGGTGCTCATGTTCTGGGAATGACAACAGTTAATAGCAGTCGAAGTTTCTTCAACTTCTTTGATGGAGTGTCAACTACTAGAGTGTTGTCATTATTTCAGCTCCAGACATTATTAGCTGATATATTTGGATGCATTACTTGTGCAGCTGAAAGTATTATCCATGATCCATTGTTGTTGGTGCCACTAGAAGCTTGCAGTCTGACAAATTGTTTCAGTTTGTGAGATATACTACACTTGCAATAGACATACACAGATATGCACATTTGCATGAGTGGCAATAGTCAGAAGCTATGATCTGGTGCTGGAACATTGTGCCTATAGGTAATCCGTTGTTGCTCAGTACTTGTTCACCCTGGTCAGTTGCATACTATTTTGGAGAGAGCACAGTACTGTTACAGACAATGCACTGGGATTCAGTAATAGGCCATGGAATGCTTCATCTCAATCAAATTGTTTACCCAGTTATGCAACTTCAAACCTACCATACCACAATAGTAATGGGTGGCCATTCTCAGAAGAATCTTCTGCAGATGCTTCACACAGTTTCAGTTCAGTGGCTGCTTGGCCAGAGTTGCTCCCTCATGGTCACTATTTATATCTAGCTTGTCACATAAGCCAGTGCAATACATGGGTTCCACGGGCTGCTACTCATGGAGTGCCACAGTGGGGATATAGTAATGCAATGGTCAATCATCCAAGAACAGCAGACATGCCGAATGGAAATATTCAGGATTATCAAGCTGGTCATTCTTCTATTCATGGGCAACTACCTCATTTCTGCCAGGATCCTTTGCATAGTAGGCAAGCACCTCAAATACAAGTACCTCATTGAAAGCCCTAGTTTGGTTTTGGCTAATTGATGAAACCTAGTTGGACTAATCCTTACATCTAAGTGTGTGACTAGATAGGATGGTCTAATCCAAGTGAAGGAGCTAGGTGGCACTCATGGATGGAGATGGCCACATAAAATGAAGATCATGGTGATGGTGTGAGCACATGTGATGATCAAGCTCCGGGACTTGGAAAAGAAGAAAGAGAAAAACAAAATGGGCTCAAGGCAAATGTGATATTCAATAGGGCCCTTTTGATTTCGGTGATCAAGACACTATAGAGAGTGTGATCATATTTAGGATAGATGGTCGTACTATTAAGAGAGGAGCTTTTATCGGACAACTCGATCATCTAGTGCCAATAGGTGTTGGAAAACTTGCATATGCATTTTAGGCCTAGTGCACAATCAATGAGAAAGTGATTAACCTTTAAAAATGATTGTGAAAATGCTAACACACTTGCACGTAATGGTGAAACACTTGGAGTGTTAGCACATTTGCAAAGGTGGTGAAAAAGGTGAAGAAAATTAAACGAGGAGTTGTCGGGCTTGGAGTGCTGCCACGGGGGCACCGCCATGCTCTGTCCGGTGCACCGCCACCCCTGTGGCGTTGACCGGCTGAGAAGGCCAAGAGGGAGGTGCTCTGGTGAGGGCACCGCCACCTTGTCCGATGGCACCGCCACTGGCGCCCACCTGGACTCGGCCGAGTAGCAGCAGAGTGAGCGCGGGCACTGGTGCGCCCGGTGTACACTGCCATGGTGAGGGCGGTGCACCTCCTGGTCACAGCCATAATAATCCAGAGAGTGGGGAAACCGGTCTGATCACCGCCGCGGGCACCGGCGTTATTTTCCAGAGACTTGTGTTTTTGGGGGTTGGTCGGGTGGTCACTGCCACCGCCACCCTAGCCGGTGACCACGGCTAGTCAAACTAGCTGTTGGATTCGACCGTTGGGGGGCACCGCCACCCCTAGGGCGGTGCCACCACCGCCATCTCCGGTGACCTCGTAGAGGCTGGCTCCAAAGGGTAACGACTCTATTTGCTTGTGGGCTTATAAATAGAGGGTGTGGCCGGCTGAAAGCTCTAGTTTGGTTTTAGTGAATTGATGAAACCATAAGTGCTAACCTAGTTTATCAAAGTGATTATGAGATAGGTAGCACTATTCCAAGTGATGAAGCAACAGTGAAGATCATGATGATGGTGATGCCATGGTGATGATCAAGTGCTAGGACTTGAAAAAGAAGAAAGAGAAAAACAAAAAGCTCAACGCAAAAATGAAATTGATAGGAGCTTTTCGGTTTAGTGATCGAGACACTTAGCGAGTGTGATCACATTTAGAATCGATAGTCGTACTATTAAGAGGGGTGAAACTCGGATCGAAATACGGTTATAAAAGTGTCACTAGATGCTCTAACTCATTGTATATGCATTTAGAATCTAGTGGAGTGCTAACACCCTTGAAAATGTTTGTGAAAATATGCTAACACACATGCACGAAGTGTTACACTTGGTGGTTGGCACATTTGATCAATGGTGGTGAAGTTTGGGGTCAAAAGGAGCTATTTCGTATTGATCGGACTCTGCCTTGGGCAGTGATCGGACTCTGACCCTGCGTCCGGTCAGTGGTGCGCAGTGAAGGCCACCCTCGGTCCTTTGACCGGACGCTGAGAAGAAATAGGACCGGACGCGCTGGGGGTGCGTCCGGTCAGGCTATGACGGTGCGTCCGGTCAGGCTATGACGTACGCTGACGCAAACATCAGAACAAGCCAGTGAGGACCGAACCCTATGCCGCGTCTGTTCACCTGTGATCGGACGCGTTCGGTCGCAATTTTACCTCTCTGGGAGCTCTCTGGAAATGACCAGACTCTAACGCGTGGTGCGTCCGGTCAATTGAACAGGAGCGTCCGGTCGATGGTCAGTGAGCGTGCGTGAGTGAACCGTTGCGCGCCAACGGATAGTTTCAAACGGCTAGGACACGTGGCGGTCAGGCTACGACCGGACGCAGCGACCGGACGCGTCCGGTGCACACGACCTGCGTGTCCGGTCGTCCCGCAGTCAGCCCAATAATTGAGCCAACGGCTCTATTGTTTGGGAGGTGTCTATAAATATCGTTTGGTCGGTTCTAGCTCACTCTGTTGGCCATTTGCATTGACATAGCAACCTTGTGAGCTTAGCCAAAGCCCTCCCACTCATCTTCATCATTGATTCATCATCTTTGTGAGATTGTGAGTGAATTCAAGTGCATTGCTTGAGTGTTTGCATCTAGAGGCGCTTGGTGTTCGTGTTTCGCTGTGGAATTCATTTGTTACTCTTGGTGGTTGCTGCCACCTAAATGGCTTGGAGCAGCGAGGATCGTCGAGCGGAGATTGGTGATTGTTTCCGGCTCCGATCGTGGTGATTGTGAGGGGTTCTTGACCTTTTCCCGGCGGAGAGCCAAAATGTACTCTAGTGGATTGTTCGTGGCTTGTGTGATCCTCATCTTGTGTTGGTTGTGTGGTACCCTATTGAGGGTTTGGCATGTGATGTCAATTAGCTCGTGAACCTCCAAGTGAGTGAATCGTCACAATGAGGACTAGCTTGCCGGCAAGCAAGTGAACCTCGGTAAAAAATCATTGTCATCATTTGATTCCGAGGTGATTGGTCTTCATTGGTATTCATTCTTGTGATTGATTGGTTCATTCCTCGACTCGGCGGTATAAACATCTTGCTCTTTCTCTTTACATTACCGCAAACTAGTTGTCAAGCTCTTTAGTTTAGCAGTCGTGAGAGCTTGTTAGTTTGGTTAGCGTGGCTCTTTAGTTAGCCTTTGAGAGCACACTAACTTAGTGTAGTGATATAGCCATTGTGTGGATAGAGACTATAAAAACTAGAATTGTGGTAGGTGGCTTGCATTTTTTATAGGCTAGCGCAACACTCGCTTCGCCTTATATTTGTCTAACCGGTTTGCTAAGTGTTGCTGTAGAAATTTCTAATAGGCTATTCACACCCCCCCTCTAGCCATTAGGACCTTTCACCGGCCTTGGCCACTCTCTTAGCACTTATAACAGCTGCATACACCCTTTGAGAGCTGAGCACACCACTTCACTCACTTGCACACTTGATTTAATCATCTTGAGTGAGATTGGAGAGCCTCCAGTGCATTGCTTAGTGTTCTAGCATTTTGTGGCACTAGTTAGGCGATTTGGGTTGGTGGAGATCTTGTTACTCTTGGTGTTTGCCGACACCTAGATGGCTCGGTGATTGGTGGATCGCCGAGCGGAGGAAGGTGATTGTCTCCAGCTCCGATCATTATGATTGTGAGGGGTTCTTGTGCCTTTGCCGGTGGAGCGCCAAAGGCAACTCTAGTGGATTGTGCGTGGCTTGTGGATCCTCATCTTGTGTTGGTTGTGCGGCACCCGGTTGCGTGTTAGACATGTGATGCCTATTAGCGCGTGAACCTCCAAGTGAGTGAATCATCACAATGGGGACTAGATTGCCGGCAAGGAAGTGAACCTCGGAGGAAAAATTGATTGTCATAATTGTCTCCTTGATATTCTTTGGTATTTATTGATTGATCACTTGCCACAGCGATATATCACTTGTACCACTATCTTGTTTTACTTTGTGTATTTACTTGTGTAGAGCTTGTGGTAGTTGTAGCTAGTTAGTGTAGCTAGTATAGCTCTTTAGTTGTAGTTTTCTTGCTAGCTTGTTCTCCTAGGTATAAATTAGTGACTTAGCCTTTGTGTGATATATTAGAGATCATAGAGAATAGAATTGGGTAGGTGGCTTGCAACACAAGTGTAGTGCTAGCGCAAAATTCGTTTCACCATTTTATTTACTAATCACTTGTCTTAGTGTTGTTGTAGAAATTTTTAATAGATTATTCACCCCCCTCTAGCCATTAGGACCTTTCACTCATCAACAGTTCATCGGTAACAATGTGATGCATGGTTTAAGTCCTGCTGCTGCAGGCCTTCCTTTCGATCCAAGAATGTTGGCTCTCCCATTCCATGCTGAGCATACTTCTGGGCATCCGTTGCATCCACCTGCACTACCCAAAGATAATGGAAAACAACTTTTCAAGAAGGAATTGAAGAAACACGTCATCATCTAGTTTCCTTGGGATCCCGGAGGTTCCATCCTTCTCCATCAGCTTGGGGGCAAACCGAATCTTAAGGAGAAGGGAATGTTAGGGACAAGCATTGGTTGGGCCGACACATGGGCCCTTGGCCTTGAGCCCAGCCTAGACCTCGCTGGAGGAGTACAAAGGGAAGGAGGCAAGGAAAGAATCGGCATCGAACAATTATCAGAAAACATATTACCTCCCCCTAGTTACTGTTCTTCTTCCCCAACTCTCTCTAACTCTCTTGTACCCAGATTTCCTACTTCCAGGCCTTCCTCATCCTTCTAGTA